TTTTTTTTTTGCCAAGTGTATTCTCAGCAGCGCTGGGGTATAGCGCTGATCAAGAAAGCCCTGGGTCTGCCCTCCCAGGCCTCACAGCCTAGCAGGCAGAAACATCCATCCCCATCTGATGGACCAAAATGGGCAGGGCTGGGGGAGCCTAGAGGGATTCAGGAAGGGCTTCCTGGAGGGGTGTCTGAGCTGAGGCCTCACGCATAAGTAGGTGTTCTCCAGGAGAAGAAGTATGGAAAGAAAGCATCCTTAAGAGGAGACTCTTCTTAGACAGAAGGAATAGAATGTGCAGTCATTTAGAAATAAATGACCTGTCTGAAAGAAAGGTCAGGGTGACTTAGCATAGAGTTTGAGGAAGGCATAAACAAAAGATGGCTCGAACGGTGGGCAGGCAAGTGGAATGTTGTAAAGAACCTTAAACTTTCCCCAGGCACTGGGGAGCCATGGCAAGATCTGAGCAGGGAAGGGAGAGGTCATGTTTGTGCTTTAGACCCCTGTGGCTACCATGAAGAGGGTACTGGGGCAGGAGACGAGGGGGAGGTGGGCAGGAACCTGGGTGGACCTGGGTTGAAGGGGGAACTACAGAACATACAGAAATGGGGAGGAGGGTCAGAAGTATTTAGGAGGTAGGAAGATTAGCTGGATGTCCTCTCTCTGAGAAGGGCAGAAACCTATACAGATCCTTAATAGGGAAACTTTTGAGTACCTGCTGGGAACCACCTGTTCTGGAGACAAGCCAAGTCTTCAAAGCCTGTGATTGGGACAGGGAGACAGCGCCATCTGGGGCTTGCTAGGGAGGGTGGCCAATGAATAGACAGGGAGTGGCTGCCCTAAAGCTGGCAGGCAGTATCTAGAAGGTTGCATCTCCAGTTAAAAAGTTTTTTTTAATTGTAACAAATACATATTACATAAATGTATCATCTTAACTATTTGTAAGTACACAGTTTAGTAGTGTCAGGTGCATTAAATTGTTGTGCAAATAAATCTCCAGAACTTTTTCATCTTGCAAAACTGATCTTCAGTACCCATCAAACAGCTCCCCATTCCCCTACCCCCACGGCCCTGGCACCCAGCATTCTAACTGCTGTTCCTATGAGTTTGACCCACTCCATTAAAAAAAAATTAATTGAATTAGTGGACAACATTTAAAAATGGCCAGCTGGGCAATAGCAAGACCCCATCTTTACAAAAATTTTAAAAAATTAGCTGAGCATGGTGGTGCATGCTGTAGTCCCAGCTACTCAGAAGGCTTAAGCCAGGAGTTGGAGACTGCAGTGAGCTATGATGACGCACGCGACTCCAGCCAGGGTCAGGGAGATGACCAGATGGCACAGGCTTGTGGGTAATGCTTGGGGGCTGCAGCATCAGCCTCACCCTGGGCCAGGGCCAGGGTGAGGGAGCGAAGGGAAGAAGACAGGGAGAGTTCAGGGGGGCTTCCTGGAGGAGGGAACAGTAGAGAGGAATTGCAGCTGAGTTGGAATGGGGTTAGGGTATTTATAACTGAGCTGGCATCTGAATGGCAAGTAACAGAGAGGGTGGGACCACGTGGAAGGAAGGTGATCAACTGAAAAAACTTATTGAGCACCTGATGCATGCCTGGCTCTGGGCTTCGTGGGCATTGAGGAGCCAGCAAGTGACCAAGACCCGCTCATGGTCTCACACTCAGCGATGACTTAGAGTGGTCAGGCTGGAGTGGGGGGCTGAGGAAGCCCAGAGGGGGTGCATGACGCCAGCCTGGGAGGTCAGGGAAGGCTTCCTGGAGGAGAGGAAATCTGAGTTGACACCAAATAGGAAAAGAAGGGGAACTGAGAAGGAACTGGGGACGCAGGCAAGGCTGGGGTGGCAAGGGAGGCGGTTCTGACAACCAGCTCCGGCTTT